GAGGGCGTCAAATCTGTACACACCTTGTGCCAGTCAATATAGAAAGTACCTGCTGCTGCGAGAGAGCGAGTATATTAAGCTGTGCGTATCATGGCATATTTGCGTTTCCACCCTCCGGATATTCCCCGGTGCAGTCGTAATGCAGGTCCCTGGAGGCGCACAACCCCCGTCAAAGTCTCAATGTGCAGTCAGCCGAATGTTTATGCTGCCGAGGAGAAGAAAAAAGAGAGGAAAAGAGAGAAAGGCGGCAGCTCTCGTGCACTCGAATTTTCCAACTCTGTGCCTCTTTTTCGAATTCTCTGCGGTATTTATGCACTCGATTATTATTTTCATGCAACCACTTGACCCCATTTTTGCGTGGATATGCTGGCTCGGTTTGCGCTCGGCGAGATTAAAATTCTAAATGTATACGTGTTTGTTTTAATAAAATGGGAATGCTCCGTGGTGTTTTTCTTTTCCCTGCGCGCTGTTGATTACAACTTGTCGAGGTGAAGGCCCTTTTTTAGAAAATAATGAATTGTGCTTCATAATTCTTTGTTTTTATATTTTCATGAACGTATTAACATAAGTTTTAATTGAAGAATTTCTTCTGAAAGAATTAAATCATCATAATGTTTATATTTCACGATTTTGCTTTAAAAAATTAAGGATGTATTAATTTTTCATTTATTAAAAAACTGAATTCGATAAACTATAGCGGCTTTTTAATTTTGTTAAATAAATTTTTAAAGTATTTTCCGAAACTAGTTTTTAAAATGCACATTTTATCTTGCCATTAGCCAAGACCAAATTTTTATGGAAAGCGCCATTTCTCTTGAGCTCTCGCCCACGCAGCAAAATAAATTGCAGCCTCCTTGTTTCGCAGGCGGCAATTTTTATCCAATTAGCCGCTCTCCGAAAAAAGGTAGCTGAGGCGAAAAATGAATCAAGGCTCGCCGGCTGTGTACACACTCACAAAGTTATAAAAATATCATTAAATTAATTCCCAAGAAAGAGGCGTTCGCGGTGGCAGATATGTTAATGGGCTAATTCAATTACCAAGTTAGCCCGGCCGGCTCGTCCGGATTATGTGATAAAACACGCTGAGAGAGGTGCGGCTGCAGATTCGTTCCGTCGGATTTCCATTTATTTCATTCCTTCTGCGGAGATTTGCATTTTTAACACGCACCGAGACTTGCGCGTGTCTCTCGTCGCCGAGGAGCATGCAAACTAATCACGTCCCGCAGGACTGCGAATTTACAACTTTGTGCCTGCCGAACGCACCGAGCATCGTGTCCACAAACAAGATGGCTTCGTCCCGAGATGCGTTGGACCCCTTGAATTTTAATTTGTTCCGCCTTCATGGTCCGAGTCTCTCTCCAAGAGGTTTGACACGTGCAAGAGAAACCAGAGCAAAAGCCAAAGTTACACTTTGAATCCATCCTTTCATGTGCAGAACTCAATTTGAAAAAAAAAAATTAATTGTCATCAATTATTAAAAAATCTTAAATTTATGTGACTTTAAAAAAAAAAAAATTAAAAATAAAAATCTGAGGTGAGTTGTATCCTCTGAGAGCATCACATGAGATTTGAGAGAGGAAACATTATCTCAATTAGGCATTATATTTATTAAAAAAGCCTATACTTTTATTTTCTGTGTCCTCTATTAAAAATTGTATATTGTAAAAAATATCATAATTTGGCTAATGGTATGACAATTTGTCACAAAAGAAACAAAATTTTGTCAATACATTATAATGGAACGATACAGAAAAACACGGATCATAAATCATTAACCAGATGCGACGTTGAGATGGCAAAGAAAAAGAGCAAAATTAATACAGGCTGGAGAAGATGTGGCAGCTAGACCGGCGAAATATCAATAAATTAGCGATCAATCACTCTCTCCTCGGTTGAGCTAATACATCATTTCAGTTCATCCCAGCGACTTATCCCGCGTGTCAGCGACGCGAGGTGAAATAAAGCTCGGAATAATCCTGGCTGTCGTCTCGTTAAAAAAAAGAAGCAGAGGAAGGAAAATAAAACTGGAGAATTTCGTAACGAGAGGCAGTCAAATAACGAGCGGAAGCAAAAACCCCTTTCTCTGCATGCAGAGGGAAAATATTTTGCAACTGGGGAACGTAAATTGCAGGCGCTTTTGTGAGATTTGACGCGAGAGAGAGGCTGCTCAGGGTGGGAGCGCAGTTGTTAATGTGTGTTTGTAATTCAAGGCGAAATGCTGTGCGCTCTCAGATGAATTTACATGCTGCAAAGTGCAGCACCTCGCTTTGCTGCTTTTTGACCTAATTTACCAGCATGAGCATTCATCACTTTGTTCACAAAGGCCACACCTGGCTGTGATCTCATTTATAAATCAGACGAGATTTACACAACTATAAAAATTTTAATTCATGCATTTTATTTTGTCATAAGTAAAAAAAGCAATTACAGAAAATAATTAAAATGTAAATTGCTGACAAAAACGTCACAAATTAATGTATCTTTGAGTCTTTTTGTTTGATGGTTAATTTTTTTTATTTGGTTAAAAAAATTGTAAAAATTTATCTATAATTATAAACTATTCCTACAATTATTTTTTGAAGATCAGAACACAATTTTCCAACGATATTCACAAACTTCAATTTTTATTTTTTAAATATTCTCTTGAGAAAAAAGGATGGACTGAAAAAACCAACCGATAAATTTTAAACCTCTATATTTTTGCAAATCCAATTACGTTTCTGCGTAAAACCCTAGAGAGAAAATTAAGCTACACTGCTGGATTCGTGCTCCTTTTTCCGAAATAAAGTCCTCTCGGGATGGAGCAACTCATCAAACGTGGTGCTCGATATTATGCAAATTTTCACTTTGTAGGCGCGCTCGCTCACCAGCGGCGCCGAGTGCAGCGAGAGTGGCACCGTCAAAGATCAAAGGCGCGTTTATTTTCACGGCCCACTTGCGAATTAATGGCGGCAATAGCTATCAAAACAGGATAGCCCGTAATATCTGGCGATAACGAGCTGACGGTTCAGTTGGCAGCTGCCCGAATTTCGGCCGTCGGGCTGATTGGCCGGCTAAGTGCCAAAATGGGCACCGCGCCGGCCGTAATTCGGTCTGCAATTTGTGCACATGAACGTAAAAAATTTGTTTGTGTCGTCGGCAATATTGCGTGAGTGGCACAGCCATTAGCCTCTTTTGGTTTATAACTCAATTTAGCTGCGGACTAACAATTTCTATATACTCGGTGACAAATTAATCTGCTGTCATTTAAAGTTTTGAAAAATCTAAAAATAAAAATGACTTTTTCTATTTTTGGTTTAGAAAAAAAAATTGAATTTTTAAAATGCTGTTGCAAAATTTGAAAATTTTATAATAAATCTCTAGGGCATTATTTGCTGATGCTCGCTTGGTCGTCTCCCATTTTGCGGCGACCCGCAAAATCATTCAATATTTGCTGAATGCTCGAATGCGGCTGCGAGAGAAACGAAAGAGCAGAGATTGAAACAAAGAGAGGACCTCGCCAGTGGTGGCAGTGGCGAAATCATTAGTCGGCCGCCCGATCCCGAGGCCATTATCATAATGCACATACAGAGCGAGGGAGCACGCGCGCATTGGTACAATAGCCGAATAATGGGTGTTTGCTCTCTCTGCAATGGAATGGGCGAAAGGGTTTAAATGAGTATAAATATACACGCGTGCACACGGCCTCCCACTGTTTTAAGCCATACCGCAGGGTTGAGCAAAAATAGCACCCTTATGAAAGAAAATTTACTCATTGGTATTATGCAGCCAAAATTTAACTGATTATGGAGAATGATTTACAAATTTGAATTAACTTCGGCGAAACGGAATTTTTTATTTTAATTTTTGATTGCTTAACATTCAAAGAAATATTTACACTAAATTCAAATTGACGGAGCGGATTAGAGTTTGGAAACTACAGGGAAACTAATTAATAGACTTAAACTGAATCCAATGCTTGAAAAAGAGCATAAAATATCAAAGCTTCCTTTGGATTGAAGATAAAAATATTTTTGAATTAAATACATGTAAAATTGTTTTAATAGAATTTTACAAGAAGTGCAAGACAAGTGCATAAAAAATAATAAATATTAAAAAAAAAAAATTAGTTTAGATTGAAATTCAAACAGACAAAAAAATTATATTTAATTTTTCCACAATTTCTTCACAAAGGTGGGGGTTATAATCATAATCGTCATAAGCCGCAAAAGAGTTCGGGGCAAACAGAGCAAATGCGTTGCCGCAATATTTGCACGCCACAATCTGCGAGGCCGCCTTTGGTCCAACACGAGAGCCAGTTTCGTTGCGGTCGGCGCTCGACTATTTGGCCAGGTGTGTTGCGGTCTCGGCGCCCCGAAACCATTGTTTCATTCAGTGGGGCCCATCAAAGGCGCCAGCAGCCGACTTATTTTGCCAAGGGGCGCCGCCGCTCAATGAGTGTGCAAATACACGGGATCAAAAGTGTTTTGGCGCGAGCACACATGCCGAGACACACAAAACAGAACGGCAGGAATTTCCCACTCGGCAGAGCCGCGGCAACAAAGCCGAGAGAAGAGGATCAGCAAGACACAGCTCTTGGGGTTTAATATGCACCGAACCCCTCTTTGAAGATTAAGTTTCGCCTCTGATTAAACGCGATAAGGGGCGTGTTCGCTCAAGGACGCAAGGGCTGAGACGACGATCAGACTAATTTGTAGAAAATTGAAAAGTTTAAGCTTGAAGTTCATAGTGAGGCTGGTGATGAAAGTAAAGATACAGAGTATTAAATAGTTTTAATTTATTTATGGTCCTTATAGTTAATGCACTCAAAATTAATCTTCATTAATGTTTTTCTGAACGCAAGAAAAATAATTTTCATTCTTGTGTTATACATTAAGATAAATCCAAGATATAAAGAATCAAATTATTACAAAGGTAAAAGCACATTTTAATTCTTTTAAAATAATTTTTTTCTTATTTTTCTGCGCAAAAATTTACAAAGGGATTATTTACTGTTTTAGGTGGTCTCGATGAAAAATGAACAACTTCCAGGCAGCAGAAGGTCCAGTTTCCAGGTAAATAAACCCAACAAAGCGCATTTATCATTGCGCTGACGAGATTCCTCTCCGTTTTCTTTTCCGGCAGACGCTTTTCAATATAAAACGGCCGCGTCGTTTCAACGGTTCATAACTCAAATCCGAGCAGCGATTTAGCCCCCGTATCTGCGGCCACGGGCGCGTGTTAGCACAGGGTTGTTGATGGGCTGCAGATATTAGGCCACAAGTCATTTATTTCCGCGTCAGTCTTGAGCGGGGCGATAATGACAGATGAAATTAAATTCCGGCTTCTCTCTGTGTGTGCGCGCCCGTGTTAAATCCGCAGCCGCAGAGATGAATCATTTTGCGGTCCGCCAGATTGTCTTTTTTCGTTCTTTCTGGGCGGCGGAAAAGTTGTTCCTCGCCTACCCACGGGAAGGGTAGACTGCTCATTTTTCTCTGCCGCTTCCATCGGCGGGACGGGCGTGACAAAAGCCTGCTGATTATTGCCAGGGGCAATTTTTGCCGGCTGCAAAACCTCTATGGCAGAGCTAGTGACGACTTTTTACTCTGTAAATGTCGCTTTCAAACTTCGCTGCCTCGTCTCTAGCTTTAAAAATGTTCATTCTCTTTTAGACAGGCAGTCGTGATTTTTATTTGCTTGAATTAAAACGTTACCATTATTATAATTATGGATGGCCAAGTCTATAGCATTCTTTTGTTATTATTCATTAATGTTTTTTTGTCCGATTTTTGCATCATATTTTGTTTACATTCAATTCCGCATCATATTTTTTTATAAAATTATGATAGTACCTGGATAGTACTATATAGTAAATTAAAATAATAATTTAACTACTGCTCTAGGAGTTGGTTGTTTAATCTGGTTTAATCCTTCAAAGAATAATATTTATTAAACTTTTACCTTGTACTTACTTTATTAGATTTATTATACATACAAAAAATATAAATTGCGTGAGCTTTGTCGCTACATTTACTTTATAGGCCGCAGAACCTCTGGCTGCAGAAATTTTTTTTCTTTCCCTTGGAACTTGAAAATATTAGTCTCATTAAGATATTTATATTTATGCTTGAATGTTTTAAGTTTTTATATTATACATTCAGTAAATAAATAATTATTATTTATTTCCATGTTTTTTTTTCAATTTTTTTTTAATACCAAAATTTACGAAAAGCTGACGCAAAACAATATTTGAATTTCTATCCAGCCATAAATCATTTTCGGTCCAGAATGAAATATTGCAATTCAGCCAAACATAGTACTTTTTTGCACACGCGGCTGACAGCAAAAACACTCGCTCTTCTCTCTTCTATCGGCGGCTTTGGTTCTACTGCCATTCGTATATTTTATTCCCTATCGGGCTCCACCGGTTTGATTTATTCTGAATTTATTGCCAAAGTTTCGAGTCACCTTATGGTTTTAAAAATCATACGTGTGTTGTTAGGCGCATAAATTCCGCGACAAAGCACCGTAGTTTCGCGCGAAAAATATTAATCTTGAGTATTAAAATGATGCAGCAGCTGGTATATAAAATCAAAAAAGTCGCAGGTAAAAGTTTGGCCATAATTCACGGGACGAGGCGGCGGAATGAGAGGCGAAGTCCTACGGCGGGAATGCAGCAGGCTAAAGCAGCGCACGTAATCCGCCAGGCTTTGCCAACAGACGGAGGCCATAAAATATACATTCAATAATACGTTCGTTCGTTCCGTTCACCAGTAGAGACTGATATCAAAAACTAATAACCCACGCTGCTTTAATTTTCACGGCCCGCCGAGCTGGAAGAAAAGCAGCGCTAATGCTCCACTCGTTATTCACCTGCGATGACGCGGAGAGTACGCGTGATTTATTGACTCCGTCGGAAATCGATCACTCCTCTCTGTTTATCAATATTTATAGTCCCCAAGCTCACCATCCATCACTTAAGAGAAATTTTCTCTTTAGTTTAGGCTATGATCATGATCATGTTATTTAATTTATTATTTTAAATTTTAAATATTCATTCAATCACAAAGAGTTAACATTGAAAACTGTAATTATCATTCACTTCCATTAACTAAAAAGAAATAGTTTTATGGTTTATATGGATTTAAATTTGACAATAACTTAAAAATTTTCTGTTTAAAACGAAAATAAAATAAAACAAAATTTCATCAAATAATGAAGCTAGAATTTTTAATTTCCAAAATGTATTCAATTTTCAAATAAAAGAAATCTAAATTAAAGTAAACATTTATTAGAAATAATTTAAATTTAAATAATATAAAATAAATAAAATTAAAAACCATATTATACTGCAAAATTATTTCTCAAATTTCTCATGAAATTTGTGCCCGATGTGATTCCATCGCTATAAAATATATGCGTCAAATGATTTAGCTGGTCCGGCGGCGTCGCTGGTGCCTGCATTAGGCAAATAACGCTTGCTTCCTACCCGCGTAAATCACAAACGCCGCGCCGAGCAGCCGGCCAAATTCGAACCAAGTGCGAATTGCATCCGCGTTAACCGTGATTTATTTAAATGCGGGTTCAAAAATCGATTCCATGCCTGAATTTGTGTGGCACTATTGGAGACCGAAAATAAATTGCGGATAATCCCTAAGCGCGGCCCTTCCAAATAACGTACGATATCAAATAAGGAGGAAACAAAAATATCGCCGCACATTTTCCGAGGCGCCTCTTCCGGAAACCGACCCAAAGTGTCTGAAATGCATCTTCTTCGAGCCATAAAGCCAACCATTGTGCTAAACAGGGGCGTATGTGGACCTCTAGGGACCTTGACCTCCAAATAATACAAATTGAAATTTGTATATACAAATTTGAAAATTACATTTCAACATTACATGTGTTTCATCAACGAAATATTAAAACTTTGTTTTTGAAGAAAAGAATTCATTTCTCTCAAGATAAATTGATAATTTTTACTGAGTATGGGAGAATTTATGTTTTATTTTTATTCTACCAAAATATTGTGGTGAGCCATGTGAATATAAATGAGGTTTTGTTCTACCGAGGTTCGTCACGCCACTGGCGTTTACAAGCTGGCGCTGTTATTTGCGCCCTCTCGCCTTCCCGGCATTTGAATGTTCTCAGTAGTTTGCGTTCAAACGGGAGTCGCGAAGTTTTTGGGAGAATATGCGGCCGGGGCGAATATTTTTATGTAAAAGTTGGCGGTGCTATTGACAGCAGGAAATGGGATTTTGGCTGAAACTGCAGTGGAAAGAGAGCGGGAGAGGAGGCGGATGAAATTGTTATTCTTATAAATATTCTGGGAGGAAGGCAGCCGGGCGCTGCGTGATTAATTGCTCCTGACGCTGGTCGCAGCTTTGCTTTTTATTTTGTGCGTCTAAATGCTCGTATATATTAATATAAGCGCGGTCCTAAACACATAAATTACACCACCATTAAAATGTGACACGTTTTCATCTTTCAGAGTTGCTATGAAAATTGAAAAATTTACATTTCTTTTTAAAAATAGCAAATTTACATAAATTGATCTACATTTCAAAAGAGTTGTGCGTCCATAATGACCCAATTAGGTGTCCTTTTAATGAACACCATGCATTAGCAAATTGAATAACACATTAACATAACTAGCCAACACTACTTCGAGAGTCACGCGAAAGTGCAATTAAACTTCACGCGACACAGTTGGAAACTTATGCGAGCAATTCCATTTTTCGTATCGGCCGCGGTAATTGAAGCAAAGGCCTGGTAAATCGGCTCGGCGAAATTTCCATTCGCTTCCCGCGTCTCGTAAAAGGTGCAAATGCGAATTTCCCGGCGATAAATTAAATGGAGAGGCGCGATATTCCCGGCGGCGTTGGGCGCGAGCAGAGAGCTGCATAAACAAACGAATAAATAAACCGCACGTAGACGCGAGTGAGTGAGCCGGGCGTGCTGTTGCTTCTTTCTCCCCGGCCCGTAGGATCCGCGACAAACATATTTCCCATGCCGAGAGATGGAAAATATTCCTCGGAGCGGCGGATGTGATTACCGAGCGAGATACAAAGGCGGATCACTCAGAGTGATGAGCTCGGAGACACCTGCAAACCCGCTCCGCTCGCGCCAGCACAAACTTTTGCCGATATCAAATACACGGTGCAGACGGCAACGGCTTTTCTGATTGCGAAAGGCACTTTTGTCTTGGCCCAGTTCCTCGTCGGGGGATTTAGTTTTTCCTTTATTTCCTCTACCTCCAAACTGGTGATTTTCCTCTGGTGCCATTTCATTTTGGTTCAAATTAAGAGATTTGAATTAAAATTATTTCTAAAAATGCAATAGGTTTAAAATTAGTTACTCAGTTAATTAAAAAATTTTTACAATTTTTGTTTTTTATATAATTAAAAATTCTCAATTATATTTTAAATTTTTGTTAAAACTCTTTGGCCACAACAGGAATCAGGACCAACAGATCACAGGTCGCCCGTCTTTTTATTTTTTCATTAGTCTCCTTACATTCAATTTTCATAAATGAACCTTATTTTCTTCGATTGAATTTTATTGAATATAAATCCCCCTTTATTTTGTTCTCACTGATTGAAAAAAGCAGCAAATCGGGCCGAACGACGTTGGTCTCTTTATTTTGGACGCTTGCTTGAAAAGCCGAGCTTCGTCGACCTCGGCCGTTATTCAATTGACCAACCCCTCGAGCGTTGGGGTCAATGGATTTGTCAACACACCTGCCTCTCGCCTGTTTGCTCTCCGCCCGACCGGCGAGCTGCCTGCCCGTTATTTAAATGCCGCAGACAAATTGCAAAGTTTATTTGTTGTTGGCCATTTTCTCGAGAGATAGTCTGGGTGGTGCCCGAGGGCGCTTTTAAAAGTGGTGCTGACCGATCGGCCAGCTCGGAAGAGGAATTGGGGCTAAAGGTAGGCAGCAGGGTCGTTTCTTATCGCTTTTGGCGCGGTTGCGGAAAAATGGCTGAATCTCAAAAATTCACCTTCAGTGCTTATTTTTTTATTTAATAGAAACTGGAACATCATTAGACGTTTCTTGGATCTATAATAAAGGCGGATTGTTCCGTCTGAAGAACAAAATTGGACTTCTTATCTGGAGAAGGAAAATGAAACAAAGAAAAAGTGCAATAACAACGCCTCGAGAGAAAAGTAATCTTGGCAAAAGCGCTTTCCAATACTTGTCGGCAAAAAAGCGCCCAAATTGCTGCAGCCGAGACTCGAAATGGAAGTTCGAAAACACTTTGGCTGCGGCGGTATTTACAAATCAAAAATAAATTCCCATCGTGAATGAGGGTCGGTTGATGCTCTCCTCGAACGGGAATCGCAAGTTCGGCGGTGCTGATAAGGAGCGGCGTCGCACTCGAGCACCAGTTAAAGTGCAAATTGCAAGGTGGGGAAAAGAAATGGGGAAATAGATGGGCGGCGTCTGCAGAAATGGAGTGAGTATCAGATATCTGACGGCAAAAGCTTTTTACGTTTGCCTCACGCCGATCAAGCACCTCGTGAGCAACTTTTTCCTTCCGTGTTATTTAATAGTCGGTGCTTTATATCGGAGAACGTGCGCGCAAAAACCTCCCGGACGCCTCCGCCCCGCCGCGAGATGCTTTATGGCAGGAAAACATTTTTCAATTATTATTTTGCAGCTGCAGCACCTACGCGCGTATATCAAAGAGGAGCAGGCGACGCCGAGGGAAAAAGCAAGGGTGATTTCGGCGCACGTAGACTTCGATTTTCTCAGATTCGTTATTTTTTCTGTGCAAAAGGGAGAAAGGAACCACGTAAAAAAACTTATTCTGAAATTGCTCGTAAATTGAAGTCGTGTGTTTGATACAAACAGCGAGGAAAGTAGGGTTGCCGTTGTATAGCATTCAATACTATATTTGACATTCCAAAAAATAAAAATGTTTTCAAAAAGATGCCTGAATTTTTATCATCTCTTAAACTGGACATTGTAAAAAGGGAATAAAAAAATTTAAAGCGGTTCTCCTTACTCCATAAATTATTTATAAAAATGTATTGCCCGTCCCGCTAAATTTTAGACCAAATTTATGTCCCTCGGGTAAAAGCAACGGCCGAGCCTAAGTCATATTTAACGAAATCCTCTCCAGCAACGAGATCATGCTCGTGAAAGCCACCCAAATAAATCCACGTGCAGCAGGCGAGAGAGCGCACTTGCCGGTTATTAATGTTCACTTACTCATGGCCGGCCAACTGAGCTGCCGCTGCTTTTTTCATAAAGGGCCAAAATGTTGCCAACTGAGTGAGTTGCCTCTTCTTTTCTTTCGCCGTCTAGACACAGCGCAGTCAAATACATCACCGACCAGACAATTATAATACCAGCCGCATTGTTATTAACATAAACTGTGCTCATTTTTGTTTTGTCTCCTTGAATCTATTTTTGCAAAAGCAAGCTCGAATCGAGCCAAAAGCAGTCGACTAAAATTAAAGGCGAGAAAGCAGCGGCGCGATACACTCACGTTTACGAATAATGCGTTGCTTGGAATTTTCCGACTTCTCTCACGCGCAGTTGCCTCCGTGGACAATTCCACGGAATCGCCGTCATATTTCGCCCCGCTGAAAGTCTGCCAAAAGTTTTGTGGCGAAAATCGCTCTTTATTTTATTTATCCCTGTTTTATTGAGCATGTTATTTTTGGCAGTGGATGAGCTATTTTGAAACTTTTTTTCCCAATCAAATAAACCGAGAATAATTTCAGTTTCCACGAGGTAGTTAATCACTGCCAAACAAGATTAAAATCAAAGACGTGCTGACTGAAAATCTGTGCGAGAAAATCATAAAACCAAAAAGCGCAGACAAGTTTTTTTGTTTACTAAATTTTATTGACAATTTGTACAACTTAAGCAGATTTATATTAAAAAAAAATTAACACTTTTCTGAAACGCCTGAATTCATTCATTGTCATCAGAACACACTTTTGACTGCAAACGCACGCCATGTATTTGAAACATGTGCTTCTTCAGGTAACTGACTTTAATTTCCCTATGACATATTTTACACTTCACTTTCTTGCTTGAGTGAAATGTGGACATGTGCTCCTTCAAATCAAAGAAAACGTAAAATTTTCTCTTACAAAGCGTGCAAATATGCTCCCTCTCTATTAGGTTGTGTATGTGTGCCAAGTGTTTCATCATAGCTTGTTTATAAACAAATCGCTGGAAGCAATGTGCACACTGGAATTTTGTCTTTTCTTTAAATCCATGAATAATTTGTTTATGACGATTCAAAAGTATTTTGCTAGCATAGTAATTGGAGCAAATTGTACACTTGAATCCAAGGTGTTTGTATTTGAGACCTTTAACTGCATTGGAATGCTTTGAGTTGACGTGGTATTTCAAAAAACAAGCTTTTTGGAACACTTCAGAACAAACATCACAATTATAATATAAGGGTTTGCATACCTGCCTATGCATTCTGCACTGCTCCTGACATTCTATTCCAGTTTGACAAATTGTGCACACTTGTTTTTTTAAATGATAACGAAACGATCGAAACGAAATATTTAAATTGCATGACGGACATTCTCTATATTTGTGCTTTGAATTTATGTGGTTTTTTAAGGATTTTTTACTCGAAAAATGTTCAGGGCATTTGGGACACTGTATTGTTGTGATAACCAATTGATGATATTTAGACTCATGGCATAAAAGTTGATCCTGTGTATAGGTTTTATAATCGCAGAATGTGCATTTAAACTTTTTTCTCTCCTCAATTCTTTTATGTTTCGACTCGAAATGATGCTCCAAGTCAGTCCGAGTTTTAAAATATTGTCCACAACTGATCATTTGACACTTCATTGCAACATCTGAATGTTTAGCCTTAACATGATAATGTAAAGTTTTTTTCTCAAAACCACTTATTGAATAAGGGCAATATGGGCATTCAAAGCGAATTTTTGACTTTGACTTAAAATGCAATTGTTTTATGTGGTCATCTCTCTCTTCTATAGTTTTAAAGTATGTCAGGCATAGTTGACTGAAGTTGCATCTAATTGCATCATCAGCATGCTTATTTTTTATATGATTATTCAATGTCCTTCTTTTACTGAACAATTTTATGCAATAGCAGCAAGGAATTTTAGTTCTCTTTAACAACCTTATTCTTGGTGACGTTTCGACCACCATCTTCTTCTGGTCAGGAGCTTTCCTCAAGGAAACCCAACACTGCTGCACGTAGCCAGCTTAAATTACAGAGAACATTACTATTTATTTGTAAAAAAAAGGAATCTTTACCTTTGTAGCTTTCAAACAGGATATTCACATCTTTGTCTGCATTTCGAGTATTCTCTGGCCACCAACACATGTCGCTATTATTTTTACTTGAGCTGGCCTCATGTTCATAAAGCAAACTGCAACAAAAGAAGCGAAGAAATTTATTAACAAAATATAATAATAACATTAATAACATATTTATTTTTAATATTCACCTTGCGTCCCAAACGCAGAAATAGCAGACGATGTCGGTGTCTTCAACTGCCGCAGCCAAACTTTCTCCCAAAACATTTAAACACCACTCTGCGAATTTCTCCTTATCCAATTCGGCCACCAGGAATCCGCCGTTGGCCGCTGGCCGCTCACAAAGTCGGCATAGTTTCGGCCACATCTTTTGGCGCGGTTCTAAAAATGTATTGTGCAGCTGTGTGCTGTGTTTGTTATGATGATATTAGTACAAATCAAGCTGTCACTTGGCTTTTGGCGCTGTTGCTTGCCATGTGTAGCAAGGAGGGATTCGTTTTTCAAAAATGAGCGCGAGAGACACGATGCAATTATGCTGCATTATGCAGATCAAACTCAAGATATGCTCGAGCATTATTACATGAACGGTTTTTTTTATGTGATGCATTCATTTTTGTTTTCTTCTCATTCTTTTTATGAATACTGACAATACTGTTGTGAATAGTTATACAAAAAATCGTTTCCTGAAGTTCGCCAAAATATTGTATATCATGTATTAAAATTAAATAATTCTAAATAATAATTTTACTCTAGTAATGCGGTGATTGGAACCTTCCAACTTTTCTCTCACGTTTAGTTGCCTTCGTGGACGATTCCACCGAATCGCCGTCATATTCGCCCTGCTGAAAGTCTGCCAAAAGTTAGCAGCAAAAAGTCGCTCACTTATTTATGAATCCCTCTGTTTGAGTGAGCATGTTATTTTTTGGCAGTGGTTGAAATACTTTGGAACTTTTTTATCATTAAAATAAAAACCGAGAATAATTCCAGTGTCCACGAGGTCATTAATCACTGCCAAACAAGATTCAAATCAAAGACGTGGTGAATGAAAATCCGTGCGAACAAATCAATAAGTTTGGTGTGGACGCAGACGGACGCAGCAAAAAGAGCCGTTCCCTGTCGTTCTGCATGAATAAAACATCATTTTTGGGCGCAATCTCCCCCATTCGCTGCAAACCAAACGCGCTCGCTTCACTCTCTCTTTTTGCCGTGAGCTCTTCTGGTGATGACTTTTTTGTTGCGTGCCGGCGCGCGCCAAAAGAGCTTCCAATAGAAGAAATATTCGGGCCACTGGCAAATTTCAAATGCATCCAACTTGGAAGCCGCTATTGTTCTTGTGGGTGCGGTCGTTATTAAAAATCATGACTTAAAGGGACGCAAACCACCCTTACTTTCACTCACAAGATTTAAAATAAAAAATTTTTAAATTTATATATTAAAAAGAATATTAAATTATTTTTAATTAACATTATTTAGTTGGCATTTTATTTTTCCATACTTTTAATTTTAAGTTAGTCAAATGCCGAAGTATACTTTAAACTGCACAAATTAATTAAAAATAATTACCAATACTTAATCCTAACTCATGTTCATAATCTTATAGTTTAACTTTTTATGTGTTCCAGTGATTTGATATAATCATGTATAACTTACAAGTTATTGATTAAAATAATTAATTGAAATTGAGGAATAAATTTTGGTGCAATATTACATACAAAACACGATAAGAATATTGCTGGTCAGCAAAAAATGCAAACAAGAAAAAAGTTCCTAAAAAATGCATCGTTTTTGTACTTTGTAAAATAAAAATTTTAAAACAATTTCATAATAGTGATGCAGAAAAGAAAATATACTTCGGCCTGAACGAGTAGAGTCTAGTTGTTGCTGGGCCTGCCACTTTCTCACCCGTTTGAGTCCATTTCGGCACCCCAGGCCGTTTTCTCCCCTGCGATTCCCGCGGGAATGGAAAACGAACACCGGCCGCCGGGGCACAGACACAATTTCCCCGTGCACTGCGCAGGAAACCAAGGGCAAAAATGGCTCTCGCCGAAAGAAAGAAGGAAAAAAATTAAAGAGACGTGCGCTTGTCGGTCGGAAAACTCGCAGGCATTACTGATGATAGATTATTAGCGGAAATGGAAAAAGCGCGCGGGACCGCTCATTAAGTCTTTGCGTGCAAAAAAAAGAAAGAAAGAAAATGACCCGCTTTTATCTCGCAAATTGGATTTTGCATTATTAACTCGGCGGGTCCATTTGGGCGCTCTCGGCACCGCTCATTCCAGCTCGCCGAGATGAATACAAATGGGCGCGTCGCAGATTTCGCGTCGTGTATATGTTATTATAAATAAGCGGGTGGAATTTATCATTACATATTTTTCAGCGCGGCAGAATTACGATCACGTACATCTCCGCTCGCAGTAGAGCAGCAAAACCATCCGGCCATTTCCCGTCGCTGATAAATTACACCGCCCTGGCTAATTCAAAAAATGTATATACTTTGCCCTGTAATAAATTGCACCACTCTCGTATACATATAAATTCTCTCTATGCAGATGAAAGGAAAAAAGTACAAATGAAAAAAAAACCTCTGACCGCTAAACTGATTTATTCTGCAGATGAAATTCCGTGGCCTAAAAACCGCTGGGAATTAGACGTGAAAGCCTTTGAGCCATTTTCCCAGCATTTCGCCAAGATTAGGCTTGTTTGCTGCTTCTCTCTGATGTGTCTGCCCAGAATAAGATAAATGAGCTGCACTCGACTTCGCAAAATGCAAGCCCAGCCACTTTTTTATGAGCTAGATGCGCCGAGTCATGCACACATACACACTCTCATTACAAGACAACGGACCCTTCTTGTTTCGCCCGGCGTCTGCTGCCCATGCAAGAAGAAGACACGACGTGCTGACTTTGAAGTTTCATTATCTGCTCGTCGGCTGTTGCTCGCCGTCTGAAGAGTATTTTGGCGCCGACTCGCAACATACCCTCCCTTAAATTGTTTAAAATAATTGTTTTATCAATTGGAATATAATAAAACAAAGTTTTAATGTAATAAAAAATAGCATATACTTTAAATTAATAATATTATACTATTTATATTATTTTGCAGAGTTAAAAATTTTTTATCTTTTTCTTCTTATTGATTATTAACACAAAATATTTTACATTATGGTACACTTAATTGTTTTTTGTTTTTATTAAAAATTATTATACATTTACACAATTTTTGTTTAATTTCTGTCGCAAAAACATTAAAAATTCATTGTAATAATATATTTATTATTGATTGATGGCGCGTGTAATTCAAATGCTATACAAAGCAATTGTAGTCTAGATTTTGATTGAGTGTACATAATCCATTGATTATGACAATTATTGTTAATAAGTGTTTTTAAACGAAATTGAAATATATTTTAAAAGAAGAAATAAATAAGATGTAATACTATGATCTATGAAAAAGAACGCTTAACTTTTATTGACGAAAGACTTTTTTTCCTGAACAGACAAGCTGGTGGCAGTTATAAATTTTCAATGTAAAAGTTTTGCTACAGCTCGAGTCCTCTGCCTCCCTCGCGATTGTTTTCAAGCGCCTCTGCACCGATTTCACACTCACTGGCTCGCAAAGAAGACAAGCGGCGCTAATATTTGGCCGGTGTCACATGTGTCCATCTGCCACGACTGCCGGCGAAATTATTCCGCACTTGATATTGGAAAGTGGCGATTTTCCGCTGACGAAGAGTCGCAGCTGGCCGGGTGCAGTCGCTCCAATAATTCGTCCGAACGGAGAAAAAAATCGTACCTTTCTTTTTTTCCGGGCGCAAAGGCCGGGATTAAAATGAATGTCAGCATTGTGAATTATTTCGCAGCAGGCGGAGCCCTCGGTCATCATTAAAAATATGTTTGAATAGGAATTAATCTGGACAGCGGTGCAGCGCAATTTATCGCGAGGTCGCTGCCGGGAAGTTATGGTTGGCCAACCGAAGGTTATTTCCAGCACTGGTTGTGGTGCAGCGCGATTTGCCATTGGAAATGCGCTCTCGCTGCAAATGTGTGGCCATTCCCAGAGCAATCTGCCCAGACCGCATTAAATAATAAATCTGCTGTGGTCGCCTTATCTGCTATTAATGAGCTCATTCAACATAATGCACAATGCTGAATGAAAGCAAAGTGTGCACTTTAGTTTCTGCTCCCATAAAGTGCAATTGGAAACCGATTAAACTTTCCTTTGATGAGATTGTCGAATTGAAACAAGCAAAAAATTCAACGAATATTTCTTTTTGAAAGTAAAAAAAGATGTTCTCAGGCGACAGTGTCTAAAAAATTTCACATCACAAATGCTTCTGACACGTCAAATTTTTAATTAATTATTTTTTTTAATTAAATGGTCAATATAGCACAATAATTTCTGAAATTTAAGTTGTACTCGGTTGAGTTTTCAATAAAACCTATTATATCCTAAGCATATTTAAAAATTTGAGCAGAATATTTTTGAAGAAAAAAAGTTTAATCTAAAATATTTTATTATTAAAAAAAAAACGATTTACTCTGAAAAATAAATCATTTAGTGATCAGCTGTAAAGCTGCAGTGGCATTTCGTGCTACTAACAATAATTGCTCAGTGAGAGTAGCCATTGATGATTGCAATTACGTTAACGAGGAGGATTTTAAATGCTGCCTGGAAAATAATAATAATGAGATGAATTGTGATCGCATTTATTTCGCAGCTGCCACGATCTGAATGCGAGCTAGGCATGGAGCGAGTGTGTGTGCATTAGCAAATTACGTCCCGACCGCGCGCGTACGCAAGAGATAGAGAGAGAGAGAGGGCGCGCCGTGCAAATTGAATTTGCATTCATCAAGGACGAAATGAGGCTGAGCCGTCACGTCAGCCAATATTGCCGCGCATTATCCCAGTATTTCGTTTCATTATGCACAGCCAGTCGCCGAGCAAACACATGCAAAAACAATATTTTTTTTTCTCTCCTAATGAGGAGTCTGACTGCTTTTCAAAAGCGGATGAGTTTCCCTTTTTTGCACTCGACGCTTTTTTCCAGTCTGCGGAAGTCCGTATTAAAGTCTGCTTTTTTCCTCTTTTAATATTTAAATTTTCTCCAGAGATTAACTTGCGAAAAGAAAATTTCGTTCTAAACCGCTTTTGACAAACTTTTTAAATTCCAAGCCTCTAAGCAACTAATTTTCTAAGAACAATGCAGCGTCTGGGGCCCTCTCTTTTGTTTTCCTGCTCCCAACAAAAATACATCAAACAACAGCCCGGGGCAAAAATTCACTTGGACTTCTCGTAAATTAAAGCGGAAACTTTGTCGAAATATGCAGAGCAAGGTGGAAGCAGCGGCAGAAATTCCTGTTATTTTGTTTTTACCCCAGGGGGCTTATGTACCGTCGGAAAAATTCCAACGCA